TGGCTTAAATGGTGGAATTTTGGAAAGGGGAAAGGCCCAAGGACTCTCTGCACCCCCTTCATCCTAGAGCACTCCATTATCTGGGTTCAGACAATCTTCCTCCCCTTGAATAGCTTTGGAAAGTGACTCAATACATTGATGGCGGGCAGGCAAATTGAAAACTATCAGGCTTGACAGTGTGCCCCAATCTGCACACTTTCCAGCTTTTGATCCCCTGCTTCTGTGCCCTAGAAGGACTTTATCACTCTGTGTCTCTCACCAGCCTTTGTAGGAATGATCTCCAGCCATATTCCTTGGCTCCACTGTGAATTTGCCATGCTAACAGCAGGAGCATCATGGAAGCTAGGAGGACATTTTGTGCCCAACAGAAGAAGAAATCTATGGTTAGCTCCAAGGAAGCGTGGATCCAGCACAGGAGGTCCCACTGAATCTGCTTCAGACATAAATACCAACTCAGAATCCCCTCTTGCAGTGAGAGAAGATGCAGGTACAGGGTTCTCAGCCCCCCTCGAACTGCGCCCTGTAGGTTTTTCCCCATAGTTGGAAGCGAGGATCCTGACTCAGGAAATTTGCTAGAAGGATGTGTCTTGGACTCCATGGGGAAGCACTGTTTGGCAAGAGATGGCACAACACGTAACACTCTTCACAGATCTGTGAATGAAGACAGCCTCGTACTATCAACAAAAATAATAATAATGCTGTACTAAATTACATATCCTGTTGTTCTTTTTGATATTCTGTTTAGTCTATGAACTAAACTTTTACTCTTTCCTCCCCCTAACAATCCTGTAAAATTGCTTAAATAAAAAAATGGCTAAATAATTTGAGAATAGCTACTAAACATGCTAAACTATAAATCAAAATACATAAACAGTGACTAAACTAACATTTAGTTCAGGGATCTTCAAACTTGGCCCTTTTATGACTTGTGGACTTCAACTCCCAGAATTCCTCAGCCAGGCCCGCTGGCTGAGGAATTCTGCGAGTTGAAGTCCACAAGTCATAAAAGGGCCAAGTTTGAAGACCCCTGATTTAGTTAGTTATAAAGTAAATATTATACAGGTACACATAAGTGAACCAAACATGCTACGATATGCAACATGCTAAGCCACAAAATTAATCAAGCTTAACATGCCTTTACTGCCACAAAATCTTTGATTGAATTATATACATAAAAACAGTGGCTGTGTTTGCCCAACAAAAACCCATTGAATTTGTTCAATCATTTCAGCTTGTAAGCAGCCCTCCATAGCTGGGAAGCTGTCACTTTCTCTTCTAGCTCCCTTTTATAATTTTTCACTGGAATACTTTCACTTGTAACCATTGGAATATTCCCTCTCATCCATTCCTGTCAATAAATCCAAATCCATGAACTGGACATCTATTTTAATCCTGATCATCAAGCATCTGACTCTATTTCTTTGCTGCCTTCTGTTAAGTCCCTTGTGTCAAAATTTTTAGAATTCATTAAGAACGGATTCCTTAGTCATGCTGCTTTCTTTTCCCCCATTCATCTTTTTTCCTTTGGAACTATTTCTTCACAGGTGGGAAGAGGGAGGGCCCTTGGAGATGTCCCCCTTTCGCTCTCTGCACTTGGGAAAGAGCAGAATCAGATTTCCCTATCTGGACACGTACAGTTCCAAGGTCCTGAGAATTTTCAAAGAGACAAAGACTTGTCCACAACTTTCCTTCTGCTCCACTCTCAAGCAACTGTTAAGCAGGTTCCAGTTAAATATCTTGGCTTTGTGACATAGCAGTGATGTCATGGCAGAGGGCCCTCAGTGTGAAATCATGAAAGTTGGCCCAGCTGTGACCGTACACTAGGGCTGGCTTTACACAATGCAGTATACCAGGGGTGTCAAAACTGCCAGCCCATGGGGCGGATGCGTCACATCAAAACCGCGCCCACCCCATTGCCGACAATGGGAAAAAAGTCACAATACGTCACGACACGTCACATAACATCGCGAGTGTGACACCCGTGCACTATACCTTACACCCAGGTTAATACACCACAACCACTATTTGCAAAATGAAGTTATATTACTATTTCACATAATGGCTGAGATTGCACAGTATTCTGAACCACAAACTTTCAATCCCCAGGGTTGACTAGATCAACATTTTGTGGAATTCAAGGAAATGTATTATGATTGGTAATTATGCTTGGCAAAGTTCACTTAAATGTAAGGGGACAGCAACAGAAAAAGGGAGGGGAGCATCCAAAAGCTTACTCGGGTCTCTTTGGAAAAGCTAGACATTGATAAAAATTGATCATGATGGAGACCTTTTTTCCATCCAGTCGTCAGGATCAAATCCATCTTGATAGCCTTTTATTAGCATGCTGTGCACTCAGCTGATCAAGGACCAATAAAAGTTCTGGCCACACACTTAACAAAGGCAAAGAAACTGATACATGTAATGAGGACTATCAGATTAGAAACTCAATCCTATGAAGGCTATGAAGACTATGAAGACAAGTTCAGGATCCAAAAAGATCTTGACAGATTTGAACAATGGGCCCTATCCAACAAAATGAAATGTAATGTGGAGAAAAGCAAGGTTTTACATTTAGGCAGGAAAAATCAAAAGGTACAAGTACAAATTAGGAGAAAACTGGCTCAAAAATGGTAACTGAGAGAGGGACCTTGGAGTTTTAGTGGATGATCACTTAAAATGAGCCAGCAGTTTGTGGTAGCAGCCAAAAAACCTAATGTATAAACAGAGGCATAGAATCAAAATCACATGATATTAGTACTGTTTTATAAAGCCTTAGTAAGGCCACACCTGGAATACTGCATCCAGTTTTGGTCACATTACAAAAAAGATGTTGAGACTTCAGAAAAAGTGCAAAGAAAAGCAACTAAGATGATTAAAGGCCTAGAGACTAAAACATATGGAGAACAGCTGTAGGACTTGGATTTGGCTAGTCTAGAGAAAAGAAGGACTGGGGGGGGGGGGCATGATAGCTGTATTCCAGTATTTGAGAGGTTGCAACAAAAAGAAGGGGGTCAACTTTTTTTCCAAAGCACCAGAGGGCAGAACAAAAAACAATAGATGGAAATTAATCAAGGAGAGAAGCAACCTGGAATTAAGAAGAAACTTCCTAACAGTGAGGACAATTAACCAGTGGGTCAGCTTGCCTTCAGAAGTTGTGGGTGCTTTATTACTAGAGGTTTTTAAGAAGCGACCGGACAGTCACTTGTCTGAAATTGTATAGGGCCTCTTGCTTGAGCAAGGGGTTGGACTAGAAGACCTCCAAGGTCCCTTCCAACTCTAATTGATCAATTGAAGACTGAAAGAGCATGCCATGTTCAACCTTGAGAACAACAAGCAGGGACTCTGGCAGCATTCTTTGCTTCCCCTCCCTGAAAGTAGAACTAAGCTTGCACTAAACTGCACAGGCTCAGGAAAATATTACTTTTTCAAGAGCTTTTAATAGTTCCAATGAAGGAGCTCCACTATGGTAGATCTAAAGCCCCCTGTCTTCTTCAAAACACTGCATGTCTCTGCTTCAAAGGATGTCACATGCAAGGTTAAAGGGATTATTTATTTTGAAGAGTGTTCCTCAGTTCAGCAACTTTTAAGGTGTGTGGACTTCAACTCACAGAATTGCCCAGCTGAGGTGGCAAAACGCTACTTTAAAACCTCTCCTAAGCCACAGATCCCTGGATAGACTTGAACACTGGGTACTATCTAACAAAATGAAATTCAATGGTGAAAAAAGTAAGGTTCTACATTTAGGCAAGAAAATGTACAGGTATAGTATAGGGGGTACCTTGCTCAATAGTAATAACTGCGAGAGGGACCTCGGAGTCCTAGTGGACAATCATTTAAATATGAGCCAGCAGTGTGCTGCAGCTGCCAAAAAGGCCAACACAGTGCTGGGCTGCATTAACAGAGGGATAGAATCAAGATCACGTGAAGTATTAATACTTTACAATGCCTTGGTAAGGCCACACTTGGAATACTGCATCCAGTTTTGGTCACCACGATGTAAAAAAGATGTTGAGACTCTAGAAAGAGTACAGAGAAGAGCAACAAAGATGATTAGGGGACTGGAGGCTAAAACATATAAAGAATAGTTGCTGGAATTGGGTATGTCTAGTTTAATGAAGAGAAGGACGAGGGGGGACATGATAGCAGTCTTCCAATATCTCAGGGGCTGCCACAAAGAAGAGGGAGTCAAGCTATTCTCCAAAGCACCTGAAGGCAGGACAAGAAGCAATGGATGGAAACTAACCAAAGAGAGAAGCAACCTAGAACTAAGGAGAAACTTCCTGACAGTTAGAACAATTAACCAGTGGAACAACCTGCCTCCAGAAGCGGTGAATGCGGCAACACTGGAAGTTTTTAAGAAGAAACTGGACAGCCATTTGTCCGAAATGGTATAGGGTTTCCTGCCTGAGCAGGAGGTTGGACTAGATGACCTCCGAGGTCCCTTCCAACTTTATCATTATTATTATTATAAACTGGACAGCCAGTTGTCCAAAACGGTATAGGGTTTCCTGCCTGAGCAGGGGGTTGGACTAGATGACCTCCAAGGTCCCTTCCAACTTTATCATCATCATTATTATTATTACAAACTGAATTGGGATGGAATATCCTGTTTGGGTGTCTCAGAGCAAGTCCTTGCTTGCTGCTCCCACCAAGATAACTTAAAGTTGAGGTCTTGTCTTTTTTTAAAAAAATAAAATAAATCAAAGGAATAATTATTGAGTGTCCTTGAACTTCTAGTTCCCCTTGGCCTGTACTCAACACTTCCCCAGCTTCCGGACTGATAGATAAAGGCAGCGATAGGGCATGTTTATACAAAAGAAGCAATCCACACCTGCCCTTTAGATATTGTTTCTTTGTCTCCTTAATAACATCCTTGTAATCTACTTTTTTTAAAAAAAAACACCTCTCTGGAGCCAACTTGTCTGCCCTTCCTGGGCGTTCCCAGATTCCACCCGCAGCAGCTACCGATCCCTCTCCCTTTGTCTTGTTGAAGAAACAGGAGGAGTAGCCTATTTTCCCAGATAGTCCTTCTATCGAGCGGCTCCCCAAAAGAGAGCAACCCCGCCGCCAGGAAAAGCGCTCAGGTAGCGTCATAAGCGGGTGGGCCAATAGGAGGGAAGGCGCCGCCTGCTTCCAGATAGCCATGGCCGCTCTCTCCAGCCGCCCCCTGGCCGAAGTGCAGCGCCGCGTGACCGAGGTGCATCACCAAAGAGATCTGCAGCAGCAGCTGCGCTTCTACAACGGCTGGGCCAAAGACTATGACCAGGTGCGGCTCCCCTTCCCTCCCCACCTCGCTTAGGGAAGAATCTCGCTTCCTGCATCCGGAAGGAATGCTTATAAAGGAGAATGTAGTTCAGGGTTGAAATAAGGGATCCTGGGTGCTCTCATATGAGCTTGTTTTCTTACAGACGTTTCATTACCCAAACTAGGTAATATCATCAGTGGTATTGCTTAAAGCATTTATCCTCCTGAGCATGTGCAGACCGCGTTTACCTTGGTGTCAACTGTTGACGGGATTCCACTGTTGTCTTCCGCGCCACTGGCTTGGCTGGGGTCTGGTGAGGGCTAAATAAAAGGAAGGGGTTTGAGAAATTCTTGGCTTTCCTGCGGTAATACCTACACCGAGCCTGGAGCGCAGAGATGCTTTCATACAGATAGTCCACAACAGTTCATTTAGTGATTGTTCAAAGTTACAAGCCCTGAAAAAATTGGCTTATGACCGTTTTTCACACTTACAACCATTGCAGCATCCCCAAAATTAAGATGCTTGGCAACTGACTCATACTTATGACCGTTGCAGTGTCCCAGGGACATGCAAAGTCAATGGGAAAGCCAGCTTCACTTAAAAAACCATGTTATTAACTTAACAACTGCAGTGATTCACTTAACAACTGTAGCAAGAAAGGAGCCAAAATTCACTTAACAGTTTTGCTTAGCAACAGAAATGTAGGGCTCAAGTGTCATAAGTGGAGGACTGTAGTTAGACTGAATTGGCAGTGTATTTCTGAATTCTTAATATAAGTATTAAGAGTTACATATCCCTTTTCCATAGTGTAGTGGACCAAAAATATGTCTTTAAGAGATCTAGCCCCCCCATTCCTAAACCAACCAAAGGTTAATCTATAAACAAGTAGCTGATCTGCACTAATAAAAATTATTAAGCAATAAAAATAATCTTATCAGAATAATTTACTCTCCATAATTTGAAACATGCCAAAAGAATGTTTTTGAAGCATCCTGTACTTATGTCCTGGCTTATCTCTAAGAGTTCCACGCAACTTCCGTGGGGATCTCCCTTTATTTTATTTCGGTGAGATAGGATAGGCTCCAAGGTTTATTGGCCCAAAGTCACATTATCAGTTTCCATGGTTGAGGGTAGATGTGAAGTCAGTCTCTCTAATCCTTGACTTACGACCATAATGGAGCCAGACCATTACAGTCATAAGGTGGGTCACCCACATGTCCAATCCAATTTTACAATCTTTTTTGCAGCAGTCATTAAGCAAACACATTTGTAAAGTGAACATCACTGTTGTAAAGCAAACCCATTGATTGCTATGGGCTGTTTATGATTAAAAAAAACCATTATAAAATGCTGGCACCCGACAACGGGATGCTGCAAATGTCTGTAAATGCAGACCAGTTACTGAGCAGCTGACATGCAGTCACATGATTGCAGGAGATAGTGGCTTGTCAGAACTTTGAAACCAGGCACAAGTAGCCCTGTGGGGGTCTGTTGTAACTTTGAACAGTCGATTAGTGACTGATCATAACTCGAGGACTATTTATATTCCAAATTCTTAAGCACCACAGCTCAGAGACTTCTTAGTACTCTCTCATCCAGGTACTAACCAAGCCTGGCCAAGTTTCAGGTTATCTTCCTAGGCAAGGGTCTCTGGGCCTCAGATAAATAAGACTGGTCCAGCACATCTGGAATGGAGCCACAAAACAAAACTGCAGAACGTTCTGTTTGGACAAAGAACAAAGTTTAATTCTTTGCACAGTCATGAAATTCTACAGATGGCCTTCAGCAAATCTTAGCCTTATTTTCAGGAGCTGATACTGTCTTTTATTAGATGCAATTATTTTAACCACCCTATAGATAAACATGCAAACCTTGGAGCTCCCCCATTCTTGGAGTGATTAGAACTCTTTTCTCTTGTAGGATGTGGCAGTGTTGCAATACCAAGCCCCAAGTCTGGCTGCTGCTTTCTTGGCCTCCATTTTCCAGGGTTCACCAGAGAATGCATTAGTGCTGGATGTGGCCTGTGGCACAGGACTTGTGGCACAGGAGGTAACTGAGATCAGAGTCGTGCTTCAGCCAGAGACATTAGGCTGGCTCCACCAGGTTTTGAAAACTATCATCTTATAATTGTCCCTCTGATGTGATTTGCAAACTCATCACTGAGGGAAGCTCTGTTTTCTTAATGCTGCCCTACAGATGACGTGCAGGCCTTCAACCCTCTTTTTGCTTTGTGCCATTGCCATTTGGGGTACCCTATTCATTCAATTTTTTTCCCCCTTGAACTAAAGTTAATGAGAGGGTTGCTATCATTGGCGCTGTTTTCAAATGATGTTTAAGGCTGGTGCTAATACAGAATTTGCATGTAGCAGGTGACGTTTTTAAGAGGTTTTTACCGATTTGGAGCCCAGCAGAAGCCCTGACCTACAAACAAGAGCATCATCATTCATTTCTGTAACTATGAGGGTACATAGGGAGAGGTAACAATGCATGTCTTGACATCATTGTGTGAATAATACTTTGATGTAATTTCTGTCATTGGCATGATGACATTATTTTACTGTCATTGTGGTTTCTAAGAGATACTTGGATATGCTGCTTAGAGTGGATGAAGTAGTTCAAAACATAGAGAACACAGTATTTGGAGGAAACTTTTAAAAAATGTGTTCTCTTTTGCAGAAGTAATGCTTCCTGATGAGTGTGTTCTGCTTTCAAATACTAGATGCTTTAATAAGCCCAGGGTTCATTAAATTAGGAGTAGTTATATTAATAGCAATAATTTATTAATAAATAGGTATGAAAAGAATAGCTTTACTTTGTCAGATTGCATTCTTATTACCATCCTAGAAGATGCCTTCCCTTTCGTGTCACACACATAAAGAAGAGAATGCCTCTTCCAAGTCTGTTTCAGCCTCCCTTGGTTTTGGTAAATAGTTTTAAAATAATTGGATGAATTGAGAGCACCGTTTGGATCTCATCAAAACATAGTCATCTGTTACAAGCTACAATGACACCGAAATAATGACACCTGCACTGTGACATCATCGTGCAAATGACTCAATTATGTATGCTCATGCACAAAAGCATTTAAGCATTAAAGAGCACTCTTGTTTCCTGGCATAAGAAGTGACAGTGCCAGCCATTGGCATCCCCGGTTAACTGCTGGGATCCCAAAATTGGGAGCTGCCCAGAGTTAGCTAGAAGATTGGCAGCTATATAAATGTTTTAAATAAATAAATGATGAAATGTGTCATGATGCCATTTTGTCTTTCCATATCGGCAATGCAGCATGGCATTCAACTACATAAGGATCATCATCATCCACATTTCATCACTTCCATGGATGATCATGGCAGCACTTCATTGCCACTGAAGGTCCCCCTACTGATTCGGCCTTGGCCAGACCCCAGTTGGCTTGCAGCATTCATTTAACTGTTGGCAAACAAGAACTGACTGTCTTTCTGGCTGGGCTCCTCTGACTTATGCTTTGTGTTCTAAGCTTCAAGCAAAAGGTTTTCGCCATTTCCATGGCCTGGATGGCAGCCAGGAGATGTTGGAACATGCACAGCACAAAGGACTGTACGAGGATTTGAAGTTGTGCTTGCTAGGCCAGGGAACCTTACCAGCTCCTGAAGGTAACAATGGGAACAGTTATCCTCAGCAATGGACTGAATAGATTAGAGAAAGGGAAGGTGCTGGCATGCATGGAGATTTCTAGAGAACAATGCCCATCTCCTTCCTTGATACTACCTGTTACTCCTTCATCTTCTCCTCTGCAGGCTCCTACGATGCTACTGTGATTGTGGGTGCACTCAGTGAGGGACATGTACCCTCTGGTGTCATTCCTCAGCTTCTTCTGGTCACCAAACCAGGTAAGCCTTTGCAAAAGAGACTCAGATGTAGTTTCAGAGGACTTATAACAGGGATGAGCAACTTTTTCTAGTGTCTGAGCACCATGTTATATTGCACCGATGAATGCAAAACCATGAAAATGAAAAATTATTTACATTGACTGAAGTTGTCAAATTTCATATAATATTTTACCTATTCCCCAGTGAGAATATCAAGCATTGCTGAGATCTGGCCTTTCAAAATAGTTAATTAGTTCATTAATTATAAAGTAATTTTAGCATTCTGTAATTATGGCCGACTGGGGAATTCTGGGAGTTGAAGTCCAGGCATCTTAAAGTTCCCAAGATTGGAAAACCCTAAAGATCAAGTGACAAAAAGTCTGACCCCTTTTAGACCCGCAACTTGAGGCACGTAAAATTTCAACGATCTAAACTTTTTGTCACTAGATCCCAATACCATCCACTCCACGTTATTCGTCAGTATACCGTCCCTTTCAGTAACCCAAACTCGTGACTGGTCGTAACACGTTGACAAGGTAGAATGGAAGGAATTATCTAAAGCTCTGGTAAGAAAAAAACGGTGGAAAAAATACAGGAAGATTATATCATGTTTTCTGCATTCCTCATAAAATTTTGTGGATTAGGCAAGAAAATTGCACACTAAACGCCTTGTACAGAAATACAATCACGACTGCCCTGAGGAACATCAAGTAACTGGAAATCTTGGATTTGTTAGGTTGAACCCCAGTTCCCTAGCCACTGATGGAGAGAAGGACATCCCCCCCCCAAGTGGCTTTTGTTCTATGCTGCAGCTCTAAGCTGATCAGAATTGACCCAGAATGCTGAAGTCTGCCAAATGCTTCAGATCAATCCAGACTTTTACTAAAAAGCCGATACAATAGTTTTAAGAGCAAGCATTTATGAGGAAATTGATGCAGAAATGAGACCAGACTGATTTTGGCCAGTATAATTGAAAATACATAATTGAAAATATGTCTGAAGCATCATGAATGAAGCAAATACTTCTCCTCCAATCTTCCAAAGAAGATTCAGTCCTGTGAATGGAGACAGGAGTAAGATTTTATCTTACAGTACATATTATGGACAAAATTATCCTAGCCAGATGCTCTGATGAGGGCAGAATCATTCTTATCAAAGGTAGCAACAACCGTTAATTGAGACCAAAGTTTTGTAGGTAACAAGGAAAGTGCTATGTTTACCAATTTCTTTTTCAAGGGCATATCAAAATATGCAATTAGGTCATGGGTCAAGCAGATTAGATGAGTTGGTAGTGTATGATTGTCTGTAATCGGTGGCACTTTAACTGAATTTTTCATTGCTGAAACTATAAAGAATGGGATGTTCTTAACACTGTATCAGTCCCCAGTGGGAAGTTCATTGTACATATAATGTTGCTTAATGCTTTATGGGAGCTTAAGAGAACAAATGGATTTATGACACTTTAGGGACTAGAAGCATTGTTGGTGAATATTTGCTTCATCAGGTATTAAAATCAGACTGCGAACATAGATGGATATCTGGAGGTGGAAAGGACCATAGCTTGTGATGCAGGAGTTACAGATTTGGAAAAGATCCAAATCTAGGAAGCTGCTGTCAGTAATAATAATAATAATAATAATAATAATAATAATAATAATAATAATAATAATAATAATAATAATAATAATAATAATAATACAGTTGGAAGGGACCTTGGAGGTCATCTAGTCCAACCCCCTACTCAGGCAGGAAACCCTATACCATTTCAGACAAATGGCTGTCCAGTCTCTTCTTAAAAACTTCCAGTGTTGGAGCATTCACAACTTCTGGAGGCAGATTGTTCCACTGGTTAATTGTTCTAACTGTCAGGAAGTTTCTCCTTAGTTCTAGGTTGCTTCTCTCCTTGTTTAGTTTCCATCCATTGCTTCTTGTCCTGCCTTCAGGCAATTAATGATTGTGGCAATTAATAATTCCAAGCTAGGTGGGTTGGTGATCTGATTTAGTGTGAGACTGTTCTGAGGTCTTACATACAATAATTGAATCCCCTTTGGCATTTGGGGGATTAAAATAGGCAAGATGGGGGCTGCAGTGTTGGATCACAACTTCTCCTCCTTTTATACAGTACAAAGGGGGTAGGGCTTGGACTGCAAAGATACCCCCGTCCTCTTGTTTTTTTGACTCACCCAACTGACACTGATTCATTCCCCAGAGATTATGGTGTTTGGATTTGTGATGCTTTTCATTAGAACTGGCCCAGTGCAGGTTAAGAAGGATGCACGGTTTATTTGAATGCACCTTAGCTTGAGCTTCCTCCAAGGCACCTGAAAATCTTCTCCAGAAATTGTATAAGCAGCTGGATCTCAGGCTGATCTTGTGAAACTGGGTGATGATTAAAACAAGAAGGAGAAAGGACTTTCACACAAAGTACAAGTAATTTCTGAAATGCCCTATGGCAGTGATGGCAAACCTTTTAGAGACCGAGTGCCCAAAAAGTTGCCCTGCCCCACTCCACCCCCTGCCCCGCCCCCACCCCACCTGCCCGCAGGGCCACTCACCGCCTCCAGGGCCCGCCACAGATTGCCCAGCAGCGCCATGATGGCCACACCCTCTGCCCGCGCCCCGCAGCATCAACTGTGCACGATGGGGCATGAGGGCAGAGTCTTGTCTACTCTGTCTGGCTGCCATAACCTTGGCTGCACTGCTCCGTGTGGGCCACGCTCAGGGGCGACTCTCCTCCAGGGTGGCTGCTGGTGAGGAGGGAGTCACCTGGCAGGGCTGGGGCAATGGCACGTGTGCCCACAGAGAAAGCTCCAAGTGCCGCCTCTGGCACCCGTGCCATAGGTTCGCCACCACTGCCCTATGGCAAGATGCAGTCATAGTTGTGCATCTTTTTAAAAAGAGGTCAGACAAAATGCATGGATTGGAGATGGGAAAGAAATGTAACTGGGATTGCTAAATGCTAAACCCCACATTCAGAGGCTGTTGACTTTTAAATAGCTGGTAACTAACCATAAGAGAAACCTTTTGGGGTTTTAATGCCTTCAGAGTTTCCCAAAGAGACTAAATCAGCCCCTTTTGGACATAGGATGTGGGACTGGCTTTGATGAAAAACTCATAACCACCAGATGGTGCTGCTATCTTGCAACAGTTCGTACACAGACCAGGGAGCCAGATCCTTGCATTTCATGTAGCTCTCAGGAGTGTGCAGGGCTGAAAGAAATACCATTTAAAATGTATTTCGATCAGAGTCTTGTAGAACCACAGAACTTTCTTCAGATTGCCTATATTTGTGTGTGTGTGTGTGTGCGCGCACCTATGTGTGTATCCTGGCATCAGACATGTTCTTTCTCAGAAATTTAGTTTTAGTGATCGCTTGCCTCTTCTTTTTTGATCTCCTTACATGCATTTGGCAGGGGTTTTATTTGTTATTTAATTTCTCTCCCCTGTATGAAGATGTGATGAATAAACTTGCCACAAACTTGCTTTTTGGTCATCTCTGCCCTCTAAGTTACTTGGTGAATAGGATGAGATTTGGATAGGTTCACACAACATGCTTAACCTAAACCTGGATTAACAATGCTAAGTCCTGTATCCCGAGAATATGCTATTATTGCCTGCACAAATAAATCCATGCTATAGTTTCATGTAATAGCTTAGTTCCCACAGTCTTAAGTCAGGGCTCTTCAAACTTGGCCCTTTTATGACTTGTGGACTTCAACTCCCAGAATTCCTCAGCCAGCATGGCTGGCTGAGGAATTCTAGGAGTTGAAGTCCATACGTCATAAAAGGGCCAAGTTTGAAGAGCCCTGGTCTAAGTTATAGCTGAGTTATAGCTCAACCGCATTTTATCTTAGTCTAGCATTTATGGAAACTCACCCATTCAGTTTCATCAGTAACAGAGAGACTTCTCATCTTGTCCTCCTCTTTCTTTTATTTTCATTTCATTACCTGATTGTAAGGGGCAGAATATTCCTGTACGATAATATTAGTGCATCTAATAACAGTTACATCTCTTTAAAAAGGACTAGGTGTTTCTGGATTTTCTGCCACAGAGGGGCATTCTGTGGTTGACCTTTTCTGGGTTTTAAAGTTAAGCAGGTTCAAGCTTTAACCTGTAAGGAACAGGTTAAAACAGCTGATATGACAGCCCAAATTATATGGTTATGGTTGCTGTCTTTTTTTTTTTTAAATAAAAAAAAAATGTTTAAAGAAGGTATAACACTGGACGAGGTATTCTAAAATTGAAATAGACCAAAGATCCTAATAGTTCTGAAAGGATTGATAAATTTGACTTTACAACACTAGAACGTGTTGTCCACCGATACACACAGACTGGTGTGCTTGGTTGAGTTCGTTGAATGCTATGTGCTACCTTAACGTCGTCAACCTGAATGACCTGGAGCAGCAAGGATTGTGGGAAAAGGTTGGGATGCAGGAAGTTGAAAAATGGGAGAGAGCAACATCACATCAGGAATCCGATCAGGGGTCGGACTATATCTCTGGCGTGGTCTACATATATCGAAAAAAAATAAAAAGTCTGGTTTAAACTCTTCATTCCTCTTCATGTTGGAAGACCCTTCTAGGCAAATTCTGGAGCCCCCTCATGAAAGGCTTAGCCTCACCCTAACTAGCTTCAAGATCTGTACTTTTTAAAAACAAAATGTGAAGCGGTAATAAAGCAGGCTGGACCATGGCTTGGCTGCAGAGTATTTTTTCTTTTCCACTTAAGGAGCTGCCATCAATATTCAGTGTGTTCCAGACCAATTTAGATTCTTCCATAATTTCATGTTTTTGCATAAAATGTTCCCAGCTTCCACTCTTCCAACAGTCTTCACTTGTGAAGTCTTCGTGGAGTTTTCACTTCTGAATGTAGAATTTCCTTCATCTTAGTAGTCAACACTGCCGAATATTTGCAATACTGTAATACAGTGCATCGTCTAAGAAAGTGTGTGTGTTGCTTCATGGCTATCTCCCCCCACCAATCACTCTCCTGACCCAGGGGACTAACCCCTTTGTAAATTCCAGCCAGCACAGCCTTTTGTTCTCTGAGCTGGGAATTACGGTGCTTATAGCTCATCATTTCTCAAAGGTCTGGGTAGGGGAAGGGCAGCATGGGTAATATGGCTGCTTGTGCATTGAACCTTTGCAGAGACCCGAAAGCTCATGAAAATTCCTGAGAGGATGAAGGGAATTCTAAAGAAGAAATCAGAATCTCCAAATGCCTTCCTTTTCCTTTTATATGCCCTCCAAGTCAATAATTCTCTCTCCAGAGATGTGGTCTATAAATGGCAGGTAAAATCAATCAGAACCAGAAAACACCAAGGTTTTGGGTAAAATGTTTGTTTATGCAGGAAGATAAGGCAGGGAAAACAGAGGAGAGACATATAAAATAATGCACAAAAAGCAGTAACAAATCAATTTGTTCATGGGAATCAATCAGCAGTGTGTGCAGGACAGAGAGTGCTAGATACAATCAGGTTCCAAAAACAATTTATATTTCTTTGGGGCCAAAAATGCTAGTGGCAATGATGGCCAATGCTAGGATGGCTTTAAAGAGGACTTGGAGGAAGAAGAAATGCATGCGATGAGTAACACCTAGCAATTAGAACTCTATGGAATCTCCCTGTTGAGAAACAGTCTGCTTTTTGACGTCATTTGCTGGAGTTCCAAGGAAAGAAGATGGCCATCCTTGTCACCGCTGGAAGCAGGATGCTGGCCTAGACCTTTTCAGCCTGCTGGGTGCTTATATTCACACCTCAACTGGAATGAGTGGTTTGGACACATTCCTTTGAGAGGCGTTCCAGGGGCCATATTCATAGAAGTGGGCGAGGCCAGGACAAAGAAGCACGTAGGGACTGAACAATTTAAATTCAAATGAGGTTAAATCAATTAAATGCTGCTATGGTGAATACTCCCCACATAGTTAATAATTTCCATCCTCTGTCTCACTAAAAATTACAATTGCACTGTGGCTCTGGGAGGAGGTCTGGAGCCTTTTGGGAACCACACAGGGCTTAGGCTGCGTACCTGTAGACTACACCTTGCAACTCCCTTGAATGTCATTCCCATCTTTGAAAGGGATCCAGGGATGTGAAGTTGCTCTGAATGGTTTAACATCTCTGATCCTTCCACAGAACATATGTGGATGGGGATGAGTGAACATGAAAACAAAATTTCAGGGAATGAGTGGCCATGAGAACATCTTTAAACACCACCAGCCTATCAAGGATTTAAAAGGTAAGGGCTGGTCAGCACAAGCAAACGACAGCACAAGCTAATGACTTAAAAGCCAGTCATCAACACACCCCAATCAACATCTAAAAAGCCACTTACAACAGGCACTATAAATAAAAACTCTGTTGAAGATGTTATCTAGCCTGGTAACGAAATGTTCAGAAACCAACCCACAAGCTCAGAGAATGAACCTTCACCCTCACTATAAATACCACACACAGAACAGCACACACTCTGCTAGAGGGAAGTTCCCTGAAGATGGGCTGCAGCACGAGTCCAAAAGCTCGGAAGACTAAACTTCTGGTCCCGGTGACTGACCCAGATTGGATCCTGCAACATCCTGGGACACGTATATTCGCCTTCATTCATTTAAACACTTATAGCTGCCCCCAATTTGGCAGCATCATTTGAAGGAGGTCTCTCATTTCTCAAGAGTAATAATAGAGCAGGGGTCCCCAACCCTTAGGCCGCGGCCCACTGTTGGGCTGTGGCCCGTTTGGAACCGGGCCACAGAAGTGGTGAATGGGCGCACGTGTGCACACACGCAAAGCTACATTTGTGAAAGTCCCCTCTCTCCGCAATGCCGTTACCACCATCTCCGCTGGTCTACCGAGCTGGAAAGGTTGGAGACCAATGTTGTTGTGATTCCTCGCCAGCCGGTGGACCCAACAGCTGAGTCTGAGGAATCAGAGGAGGAGGAGGAGGGGCCTGGAGTGACATCAGAGTCAGAGGAAGGCTCTGAGGAGCTCCAAGACTTACAGTCTGACAAGGAGCCTGGCCCCTTTACTCGCGCTCAGGCTGAGACACAGCTGTGCTGAGAGTCTGAGTTGGACAGTGATGAATCACAGCTGGGAGATATCCAGGATGCACGAAAACGGGAAGAAAAGAGAGCAGGACAGAGGAATGCAATGGGGCGGCTCCAAAGGCAAAGGAGAAGACATTAGGAAGCCACGCCTTGGCTGCATAATAAAAGGGAAGGTGTGGGAGGTGCTGGTTGTCAAAGGCAACTGTTCATGTTGAGGATTGAGTTTCTGTGGACTATGTTTGCCTTGGACATTGACTCAGGTCTGTGAATAATAAAAGGGGATTGGTTTTTTCCTGCAGTTCCAGCCTGCTTGTTGGAAGAGGGGTTTCTCCTTGTGAGCTTAACAAGGACTCACGTAGGCTGGGACAGAATAGTTGTTTAGTACTGTAGTAATAGTAGTAGAGGTAGCCCTTTACTTACAACCATTAGTTTAATGACCGTTCAAAGTTACAATGGCACTGAAAAAAGTTACTTATGACCAGTTTTCAAATTTAACACCATTGTAGCATCCCTGTGGCCACGTAATCAAAATCTGGGCATTTGACAATTGACATGTATTTATGACAGTGGAATTGTCCTGGGATCCTGGGATCACCACTTGTAACCTTCCCAGCTGGTTTCCGACAGGCAAAGTCAATGGGGGAAGCCAGATTTGCTTAATGACTGCATGATTCACTTAACTGCAGTGATTTGCATAAAAACTGTAGCAAAATGGCCGTAAAATGGGGCACAACTCATTCAATGTGTCTTGCTTAGCAACATAAATTTTGGGGTCGTAAATCGAGGATTACCTGTATGATTTTTGCAATGGAGATCATCGTCCTCATAGGTGGAATGGAAAACATGAATCACAAGTAAATGTGGTTTGGAGTGTCCCCTCCCCACCAAACAAGTTGTAACAAGGACTATAAAAATTGAGAGTGCTTGTCAAAAATGGTTTTGCTATCTTTGAAATGTGGAGAGCTCTAAGCTGCCAGGCTGGTTTCTCCCTCCAGGAGGCAAAAGAATTTATGGGGAGGCAGACCAACAGGAGAGGGAGGAAAAGATGGCTCAAGTGCTGAGCTGCCTTCAATAAAAAGTTTGGACTTGTGGACAATGGACCATCAAACTAATCATGGAGGTTTAGATGGATATACCTACAGCCTTGTTCACACAAAAGGTGCAACCCAGTTAATGCCAGCTGCATTCATGCAGTCGCGCACTTGGGCAAAGTTGGCTCAAGTTAACCTTAGGTTTGAGAGTCTTTTAGAGAAGCGGTCCCCAACCTTTCTGGCTTGGCGGCCTGGCGGGGAAGGAGGGAATGGTTCTGTATGAATGGCAGGCGCACATGCAAGCACGTGCAGCTCCATTTGTACGGGAGGGGGGCGCGTGCCTGCCACTTGCACAAATGGAGCTCATAGTTTCGAACAGGCTGCAGTCGGGTAGTGGGCTGCGGCCTGGGGGTTGGGGGTTGGGGACCCCTGTTTTAGAGGGTAGCATTTGTGTGAATCATTCTACCTATCTAGTAATTTGTGATTCATCATGTGGTACCACTAGTCACGCTGTGACCCATTGGGTCATCACTTCAAAGAAATTTCCTCATCAGATTTCGCAATGCATTGAATAATGGCCAAGTTTCTAGTGTACTGGAAAAGTATTTTAAAAATCAGGGTAAAGATGTACAGGTAATCCTCGATTTACGACCATAATTGAGCCCCAAAGTTCTGTTGCTAAGCAAGACAATTGTTAAGTGAATTTTGCCCCATTTTACGACCTTTCTTGCCACATTTGTTAAGCCTATCACTGCAGTTGTTAATTTACAAACACGGTTGTTAAGTGAATCTGGCTGCCCCATTGACTTTGCTAGTCAGAAGGTCGCAAAAGGGGATCACATGACCCAGGGACACTGCAACCATCATAAACATGAGTCAGTTGCCAAGCATCTGAATTTTGATCACATGACCAGTCTCAAGTCACTCTTTCAATGCTGTTGTAACTTTGAACCTCACTAAATGCACTGTTGTCAGTCGAGCTGTACTTGCCTTGAAAGTATTCCATGTTGACTGTGCGATAGTCAAGCATCCAAAGTGGACCACAGAAGAATTTTATGACATTTTGTATTGTGTGCTAAAATGCTTTATGACATTTTTATGTCACAAAACGTTTTGTAAAATTTGCCAAATTTTAGTTCCATGGATGTCATGGATCCCAGATTTCGGATGCATTCTGTAAGTTGCTCCATTTGAGGTGCCTCTGGTTCAAAAGGTTTTGCCCTATGATGCATCATTTCACCCGGTTAAAACTATGAGAATTTTCGTAGGGTACAGATTTCAGAAAATGGGTCAATTCAGTAACTGCAATCAAAATGTTTGTCAAATAGAGTCTAATATACAAATTTAAGGCACTGCAAACTTCAAGTTGTTGCCAAAACGATGGGACTGGAGAGAGTATTAAATACAAGGAAAGTACAATTTGATTAATCACTTTTTAAATTAACATTCAATCTAATTTAATTTTTGTCCTGGCCTTCGCCATGTTTCAACATGCATTCCTTCCCTTCCTGCACATTCTGCTTACAGGCCAAGGGTGGCCTTCAGTCTCATAAAGGCACACCCCCTTATGTACAGTACAGATGTCCTGCTTTCTGCCAACAGAACTTGACTTCCACAGAACAATGGACAGACACTTTTAACGAAGGTCTGGATAAATATAGCCTTTCTCACATAAACAATTGGAATTGCTTGTGCAACTGGATGAAAATTCCTTTAAGGAAGTTCTTAGCCAGTTGAACTCCCCTCTAGAAACGGTTTCCTCCTCTTGAGACAATATTACTTCAACGTTGGTTTCATTTAAAAAGTAACCGTCATTCTAGCTTCAGTTTGTGCCTACTTTATGAGGCATTTAAACTTCCGCTTGTTCTTTTCCATTCGCAACTGTTTGTTTTAAAATATCAAAGTGCACAAGGTAGATCACACGTCCCTTTGATGCACAGCGAACCTAACTGAGGAGGCAAAGAAACGGATTTTATGCAAATCTTGTTGGATTCTGGCAATAAGGGGACATCCGCAAAACAGCAACTCCTGATCAGAAGAAAGATTTGACGCGATGTACACAAGAAGAGCAGAACAGAAGGACGACTAGGATGGGAGATTCTGAATTGGGTGGATGGGTTGCTCTCACAACAAATTATTTGATAAGTCATATTTGTTTTAAATGAAAACAGATGCTATCCTACCATAGATAGACCTTTGCTCTGATCCAATAACACTTTTCAATATCATCCTTTCTCCACTAGATTTTTTTTTTTTACACTTCAGCAGCTTTTTCCATAGTGAGATCATTTTCTACTTGCATCTAACCCGTGGGGCAAATATACCCCAACAACCCCTTTTTTCTGCCATAACCTCACGATATTGTCTTCAGCTCATTCCCCAAACCATACCTGGGCAGCTTTAAATTTGCTTTTAGCTGTCCCTTTTCCTCTTAGTCAGGCCGCAACCTGTGGCTATTTTGATACAGGTAATCCTCAATGTATGATCCCAATTGGAGCCAGAACTTCCATTGCTGAGTGAGTCAGCTGTAAAATAAGTCAAACTCACTTTCATGATCTTATTTGCTGTAGACTTTAAGCAAATCTGGCTTCCCTGTTGACTTTGCTTGCCAGAAACTCCCTTGCAAAAGGTTGAAAAAGGTGATCACGTGACCCTGGGATGCTGCAACTGCATAAATGCCAGTGCCTGAATTTTGATCAAGTGACTTCAGGGCGGCTGCGACAATCATAGTTGTGAGAACTGCTTGTAAATCCCTTTCTTTTAGCACAGTTGCTAAACCAATGGTTGTAAATTGAGGACTACTTGTAGGTGCGATCTGCTTTGCTTCAATAACCATTTTGCCATTGGCACAATCAGGTGACCCCTAAGGGGCTGCTGTGATCATGCCCTTTCCTTACAGGTCTCTGGTGCTATTTTCCAGTTTGGGCCGGGAGTAATTCCAGTTATTTCAAATGAGGTTCTTACTTTTGCACACTTTGGAGGGCTGATTTTGAACGTGTGATCCTATATCAGCTATTGGGAGATGGTTGGCAGTTCTAAAAATTGGCTAGATCTATTTTCAATGTCTCTTCAACATCACATCGGTTAGGTGGGGTTAGGAGCGGGCTGAGTGCTTCTTCAAAGAAGCCCATCTAAAACTGAACAAAGAGATGAGGGGAACTATGTGACCAAGTAGAATAGCTCTCTGTCTGTCCCTCCCAACTTCAAAATGCCCCCCCTTTCAGATATTAGGTTTATTTTGACCTCACTCATGCAAAACATTTGTGTAAAACTAGGAACATTTTTTGACTGATAGCTAAATCCCCCAGTCTAGACATCCATCAAAACTCCCTCCTCCTCAAGTCTCTTCCCCATCTCACATTAAGGAGAATGGCTGGTGGACGTTACCTCATGCTCTTAAATTTATGCCTACTGGACCAAAAAAATGTTGCCAAAGCCGGAGTTAACTCATCTTTCTGATACAATTCTTGGCATGTCATCAAACCACAGCTTTTAGCACTCACTTGAGCAAACTGTCACATATCACAAAAAAATAATGCTTCTTTGTCAAATAAAAATCTTACAAATGGCTAGAGTGAACTTTCTCTTGGTGTCATATGTCATGTCAACGTGTTCTCCATGTAGACAGGCCTGACAGGCGTTTGGCATCGCAAGATTTATATTCTGTGGCATTATTGCATCAGGTGAGTTCTTTTCGCCAGCCGATTCTTCTTTCTCAAGGCTTGAAGTAAGGTGTATGTGGGGGGGGGGGGTAGCTTTTCCAGCAGGGTCACACATAGTCTTTGCGGGCATAGCTGCTTGAGGAAGGGTGTCTTCCTGCCCAGTATCTCATTGGATAGGATTTATTGTCCTCCTTCGGAGGAACGAAGCAACAGAATGTGCCTCCACCAAGGATCAGGAAGGCACTAGCTGCCCAACCTATGTAAAGTGAAATACCCAGCTCTCTCTTCAGGGCCTCGGGAACAAGTGGGTTATAGAAGTTGCTCACAATGTTCCTTGCTGACCAGGAGACAGGAAAGAGGAGCGCCACTCCAGCTAGGATGAACACCACACCAGCTATCATCAAAACTTTGCCCTTGGTACTTGGGTCTTCTATGAAGCGGGTACAACTTGCTCCAGAGATGGCAATAAGGAGAGCCAGGAAAGACATGGCGATGGAGACCACCGCCAAGGCACGGGCGGTTTGTAGGTCTGCTGGTAGGTCAAGTAGTGAGTCATAGACCTTACACTGCATCTGACCAGTGCTTTCATAAACACAGTTCATCCACAGCCCCTCCCAGAAGACCTGTGCCACAATGATGTTGGATCCGATGAAAGCTGTCATCTTCCACATGGGTAAAGCACAGGCCAAAATAGAGCCCAGCCAGCCCAGGATAGATAGTGCCAGCCCAATCAGCTGCAGGGCCAGGGCTGCCATCACGCTCCCACCTGCTGGAAACAGAACCCTGATTGATTAGGGTGAAAGCAACACCAATTAGCTAGGAGATATGCAGGTAACCCACAAAAAGGATCCTGGTCATATACAAGGACGGGGAGGGAAAGTACACATTCCTCTGTTCAAAGAGCTAATATTTACAGATACATGAATCAAGATACATTTTCAGAGAATTCATTTTGTGCATATACATTCAACAGTTTTGAAGTTTCTGAGAAAGTGAAATTGACCTGAACAAAGGACCAGATCCTAAAACCTTTCTTTTTTGTAATTCAAGTAGAGCACTTATTGAGCCAGGTTTTATCAAGAGTGCCCATAATGCAAGGCAGCTCTACAACATTGATTATAGATGGATATACAGTCGGAACCTGGGTTTTTCTATTTTTTGGAGTTGCTGGGCCACGATGAATTTGATTATAAACTTTAGGACATTGTGCAAAAAAACAAACAAACTGGAAAAAACAAAATACAAACAACTTGTTCCTACAGTTGGTTATGATGCAGAGGGGTAGTAAAGCCTCAAAGCAAACCCCACGCCCCGGGAACCAATCCCCCCATCCCCCACCCACCCCATCACACACACTTTACTTGCTCATTCAAAAATCTTCGGCAGTTTGACACCCCTGGTCTATGGAGATTCTCAGTCATCCAGGCAGTGGTGGGATTCAAATATGTGAACAACCAGTTCTCTGTGTGGATGCCGCTTCCGGAAGTCCATTCTGGGCCTGGGCAACAAAAAATTAGCTACCGGTTCTGCCAAACTGGTGCGAACCGCCTGAATCCCACCACTGCCTTTCTCCTGTCTTTATGCTCCCAGCGGGCAAGATTAACTCACTCCAGTTACTCATTCCTCTCTTTCAAGAAAAACCTGAAAGAAAAAAAAATCCCCTCACCCACACTCCCCAATACATCAAACGCCTTCTGATTCCTTCTCCCTCTCATCTGGCTTTCTAGACTTCACTAATACTGTAGAGCAGGGCTTTCAATAGGCTCTATTCAACTCTATTCAATAGAAACTACACCTGCTCACTCCAATTTCCCCTTGCCTCCTTCTCTCCAGTGTTTCTTTTTTTTCCAAACTTGGCAACTTGACAACAAAGTGGGCTTCAGCATCCCAGGTCATGTGATTGACATTTGTGACCTTCCCAGCCAGCTTCCAACAAGCAAAGTCAATGGGGGAAGCTGGATTTGCTCAATGACCATGTAATTGACTTAACTGCACTGATTCACTTAACAACTGCAGCAAAAAAAGTTCATAAAATAAGGTGTGACTCACTTAATCGCCTTGCTTAGCAACAGAAATTCTGATCCCAGTTGTGTTTGTAAGTCAAGGATTAACTGTACTGTTTTGTGTAGCCTCCAGGGGCATCCACAGCATATGCAGGACCAATCCAAGCTCCCCTCATCCCTACATCTAATGCACCATTATGGCCCCCATCCTGGCAGTGCCTGCTTTTTTTCTCCCACTCTATCAATCCATCAAATCTTACTCAACCTCTCCCAAAAGCCTCCCTCTTGCTGAGAAAATGAAGGAGAGGCAAGTTCAACTTTGGAGGGTGGAGGGGGGGGGAAATCAAGGGCAAATGGGTCAGTCTTGTAATAAAATGCTGGCCTCACATCTACCTTCCTGCCCCCTTCAAAAGCAGCTGGTAAGGAATAAAGTTGGCCAGGAAGCCATTCCTTACAGTACAAATGCCCATGTAACAAAAATATGGAATAAAATGACATATAAAATAATAAAATAACTAATCACAGGTAGCCAGAAGACCTTGTGGGTGCAGAGCAGTATATCTCTAGGGCAGGAGGTCAAATACAGTAGGCAACTTATATAACTCCCATTCAATAGTTTGTTAACACATTGGACTGGCTCTCTCTTTTACCCCAAAACAAGACTCAGTGCAGAAAGTGCAGAACTGGGTAGAACTTAACTATCTCGGTCTAGATGATCTTCCATTAAGATTAATTCAATGCAACATTTTGGGATGCAGACGGGGTGTGTGTGTGTGTGTGTGGAATGAGGCAATTGGGCTGGTTAATTTGCTTCTTGTTTAGTGTTTGGCTCTGGGATGCTGTGTAAACACTGACCAGGAAATCAGAAGCCTGTTTTTCCAGTGGCCCCACCCGCCCAGCTGCTATGTCTTCCTTTTCAACAGCTCCATACTACGATGGAGATGTTTTCTTACCCAACACCTTCAATGTTGTGATGCTCCTGCAGCCAGAAGGGGGGGGGAAGTCACCCTCCCTGCCTTGCTTGTTTCCCATTCATAATCTGAGCTACAGATTTCTCTGCTGTGCATTATGAAGAAAATCCCGGGGCAGGTATGCTCTCCTCATCCCAGCCCTCCACCTCCATTACTGAGGTGAAAAGACTGACCTCCCACTTCATTTTGGAGCTCAGTTTTGTGGGTTTTCTCTCTGTGTTCAAACACACTTTGGAGTGTGGACTTGTGTTGTATATACATACCAATGTCCCTGGATTAGAACCATCCAGATGTGCTAAGACTAAAAGATTTTTAGAACTCCCAACCACTTTTCCCTCAGAATGTTCAGAGCTGTGCCAAGGTATACACCATTGTTGTATCATCTTATATGCTTTGCTATTCTTTTTTTAAATATTTTTTTACTATTTTACTATTTGATATTATTGTTTTGGTATGTAAATATATTTTAAAATTAGTATGCTGCCCAGAGATACGTGCCATGGCATTCATAAGTATTTTTAACAACCAATTAATTATTCTCCTCAGTTTTCAAATTCCAAATAGTTTCTCCCTCTGCTGTAGCCATAACTTCAGAATACAATGACTCACCTCTTCTTATGGCACAGTATACTGATTAGCATTTGGAGTTTTGTAGCAAAACAATGACTGTGTTTTTACAATATGCTTAACTTAATTAATTCTGGCTATAAACTAGCCAAAGAGGCTGGGTTTGTACAAATTGCTAACCCATCAAGGATACTAAGCTTGCTTTAAACTAAGCAAGCTTTGCATACGATGCAAAGATAGTCTACAATGGGGGTGTCAAACTCGCAACATCACGTGACGTGTCGCAATCTATCGTGACTTTTTTTCCATTACTGGCAATGAGGTGGGTGCAGATTTGACATGACGCATCCGGCCCGCAGGCTGGCAGTTTGACACCCCTGATCTACAAAGAGTGTCCAACCCACGGCCCATGGGCCACATGCAGCCCTGAACTGCTAGTAATGTGGCTTCATATGATTGTGAACGTTTAACATTATTATGTGATTTTATATTATAAAACTATATTATATATATTTATATGCAGCCCAAGACAATTCCTTTTCATTCAAAATGGTCCAGGAAAGCCGAAATGTTGGACACCCATGGTTTGCAATCTTTGACTGGTTGGGTTAAACATGTAGTGTGAATCACCCCCAAACCGAAAGTCTAGACATGTTTATCTGGAAGTAAGTCCCTTTGAGTTAATTAGCCAGATAATATACCTAACCCAACTTAATAAAACACAATTACTATTGACAATATAGCATGATACATTTCAACACAGGCATTTTATGTTTTAATTTGGTGGAGTGGTTTATACAACACATTAAAGTAATTAATAGCTGCCCCATACCATATTTAATAACAAATTGCCTTTCCTATTTTAGTTCATCTAGCATGTTGTGCAAACTAATCTAATGTGTACAATTCTTCTCTTAACTGTAGATGGACAGATAGCATGATAGAAAGTGATTGACAATCAATTCCTAGCTGGACAACTTCAGATGTTTATTGTACATCATACATAAATTGTGTATGGATCTCATTTCTACTAGAAATAGTGGCCATCGGATCTGATTTACAAAATTCTGGAGAGACCACTAGATGACAGCTTGTTGCTCCAAATCATGAGATCTGGAATTTTGGAGCCTGAATCTTGGTTACCTTGATTTTCAAGTTTTATAAAGAGAAATGATCAAAAGACCAATGGAAGGATGAGGTTACCAGTGGCTATTAACCAAGATATCAAAAAAGAACATCTGGTTGTAGAGGAAATCAGTTCTAAATTATGGGTGATGGAGAGTTCTTGTTGAGAAGTGCTGTTGTGCTCATGATCTGCTTTGGAGTTTCTGTGCAAGATCCTGACTGGCCCAATAGGGAACCAGTGTGGTGGAATCAGTAGATCTTTTCTCTGATCCAGCAAACAGCTTTAAGCACCATAGCCAGTTTATTTTTACTTACCATTCAGGCAACTTATCACCCAGCAGAAATCCATTTCAAAGGAATCAGTAATGGACAGTAGTAAAAAAAATAATCAGCTGACAGAACAGATGATTCCCTTCCTTCTCCAATGCATAATTAACAACCCAATGTTTCAGCCACAAGAACCAAGCATCTGATAATTTCACTAACCAAATGCACAGGAAAATGTCTCTGAATGATAACAAAGAACAGGTGCAAAATAAATGTGCACTGTACTGTATAGATACATTAAGTTCAAGGAAAGACAAGAGAGGCACACATGAAAAATTCCAAGGTTTTTTTTTTTGTGCTTATAATTAAAATATTTATAGGGTACTTTTACACAAGCTCAAAATAATTGACAAACAATAACATCTCACAAATAAAATATGAAAAAAGCAGTTCTAATAACGTAAGAATTGACTTTCCTTTCTTCCTTCAGCATCTCTGCAAGGAAGGAACAAGTTTGTAACACCTCTGGGCTCTGCAAATAGTGCATTTGTCAAAGGAGAGCTACGCATTCATCTGGAAACCTTGACAAAATCTTATTTTGGAGAGTAATTCATTCTAAATGATAGTCTGACACTCGATTAAATAATAAGAACAATAATAAAACCTGACTTCTGTCTATGCCCATAGACATTTTTTTCTTTATTTGATAAGCACCTGGATAGAGCCCTGCTGTTCAAAATTAGTTGAGGTTAACCTTCCAAAGAGTCTGCTAAAAATCCAGCCCTGAATGGAAGAAAGGTGGAAATACATCATTTTTAATACACTTGGTCCTGTTTAACATCAGTCCATCATTCCCAAATTGCCAATTGGAATTGGAGACACTCAGTGCAATTTCAACAGAATTTAAACAGTATTTTATACATGAACAGAAATACCATCTTGGTAGCCAATCTCAAAATGGTTTTTTTTAATAATCCCTCCCTCAGATTAGATTTACAACTGCATTCAGGCATTCAAAACTGGTTTAACTCTGAGTTTAAATTAAACCGTGCAAGACATTAAAAAGGTACATTGTTGTTATTCAATCTCTTCCCTGTATTGCAGAGTTCAAATTTCCTATCACATCTCTGAAGATCTTCTACTTCTCCTTTCTCCACTCATTGTCTGACAGCCCAGAAACTTATTATTCCACAGTTTGAGCTTCCTCTTCCTAGACCTCCACAACCCACAAACCTAGATGTAGTCCTGCTTAATCATTGCATCCTTTTTAAATAGTTTACAGCAATTTGATCCTATCACTTTACCATATAAGTAGCATGCTCAGTTTTAGGAAGGTAAGTGAATGGGGACCTTCCCAGAGAGCTTCCTGTTTCAGCAGGTATCAAAACACCCATAAGAGTGATTGCAAATAATGGAACACAGAGTTATGGAAAGAGAGCCAGAAACCAAACTTGAAGGACATTAAGACTCTTTGCCACCCAGATTTCCAAATACGAAGAGACAGCCAGCAATTAGAGGGGACTTACACCCATGCTCTCCACCTCCACCAATGACTGTTCTTGCCACTATTATACACCAGGTCTATGTCCACCATCAAATTCTTCTAGCCAAATTTCAAACGTGTCCGGAAGTCCAGCAAGCTCCCACCCCACTCCAAGCTTCCCTGTTGCTGCTGCATTCCATGTGGGCCTCCACGTCAGCAATTATTCCCCAACTGTTCAGTTGAGCTGAGATCTTGGTGAGTTTGAAGGTGACTAGTCTTCCATTAGTCTCACAGAAGCCAGTTTTCAGTACAGTTTGGATAGGAACAGCTGTCACTCTGGTTCTTGAGAGATGTTTGTTCAAACAGGTGAATGCAAGAAATTAATCCTTGCTTTCCGAATCTGGATGAGGTATGCCAGGTTTCCTGCTGCTACGCTGAGTCCAAAGGAGGGAAAAAGAGGGTCCCTCCTCACACTGAAGTCCATTTAGTCCCTAACTGTCTCCTCCATGATACGAAGTCCCCAAGACAGATGGGGGAGGAAAAAATGTCTTAGACATAGTTGCTGGCTGGCATCGATTGAGCTGCTGAGTATTTTGTCGAATAGGGCTTCTCATGTTTGGGTGGGCAGTTGCAACACAGTAGTGCTCCTCCAATGAACAGCAGGCCACAGGAGGCCCAGCCAATATAGAGAGAAGCCCCCAACTCCCGCTTTCGGCTCTCTGGGACCATGGGGTTGTAGAAGTCCCGTATGATGTTGTTTGCCGTCCAGCAGAGTGGAATCAGAAGCATGATGCTGGAGATGAGGAAAATAATTCCAGAAAAGATCATCACCTTGGCTTTTGTAGCTTCATCTTCCACACAGTTAGTACACTTTCCTCCAATGATGGAGAAGAAGATGCCAATGATGGCCAGCACAATGGCAATGACTACCAGAGCCCGAGCAGCTTGCATGTCCTGCGCCAGTGCCAACATAGATTCGTAGACCTTGCATTGCATCTGTCCCGTGCTCTGGACCACACAGTCCATCCATAGGCCCTCCCAAATAATTTGGGCCACCACAATATTGTTGCCCATAAAGGCTGTCACCCTCCACATCGGCAACCCACAACAAAGGATGGTACCTAGCCAGCCGATCACCGACAAGGCAATTCCCAAGACTTGCATCCCCATCGAAGCCATGGTTGTTCTTCTCCTGCCTCTTGGAGCGGCTACAGCTAAGGAGGCAAAAATTTATTTAAAAAACCCCAAACTGGAAGACTACAACAAGAGACAGTGCAATAATTCTGAAATGCGGGTGGCAAAATTGGGGAAGTTATAGGCTGCGGTGATGGGTGGAGTTTTACAGAAGCCATCCAGTCTGAACAGACAGGGAGGCTCAAACCTGTTCCCCAGGATTCTTCTCCTCCTCCTCTTCTTCAAAGAGGGGTTGTTATCCTGGCAGAAGCAAGTTTCTCCGATCCTGACTCACCAATAAATCCCAGCCAGAAAAGGAAGATACAGCATGAGATAAGAAGCAAAGGGTCAGAACAGAAGGTTTCTCCACCTCGTTCTTTGCTGAAATCTTTGTAGGCTGATCCAAATGTTTCATTCTTACTAAGAGCATAGAAATTGTTTAGCAAGTCTAACCCAACATTCTTTCTAGCTCACTGTTCTATTTCTATCAGTGATCATCCAGATGCTTCAGGACAATCTAGAAGGCGGTCTTGCATTGATGACATTAAAGGATCCACTGCTTCTGGTTAAAGAGATTCCAGTCAATTATCATATCTTAGTGGTCATCAATATCAATTCTCTTTGCAAATTGTGCTTCTGCTACAGATCATATTATCACAAACTGTAGCAACGAGGATTTGCTCACCTTTCTGTAGGAGCACAAGGCTATTCACAAATAAATTTTCCCACAATAACTTTTTGAGGTAGATTGGAATGGGTGGAACTAGCCCAGTGTCACTTAGTGATCTTCATGGTCCCGAGGTTACTTGGTTCTCCTTAATTTATGCCTAGCATCTATTACCCTAGTGTTTGTCTTTAGAACTCTCGAAGTGAAGAATTGCTGTCTTAGTCTCCACCCAGTATAATGCATTCTTCCCTTCCCACACCCTTCTTTGCAATTCAGATAGGACTGTCCTGCTCCAGGGCCTGCTTCTAGTCCAACTGCTGTGAGGGCATCATAGATGATCACCTCACCCTCAGAGGATGTGATGACCACAGGCAGCAGGCTACACCCCTGAGAGCACCAAACTGGTTGAACAGCAAAGGTTGCAACATCCTTTGGAAATAGAGGGGAAGAAACTACAGGCAAGTTTCAATACACCACAACATCTCTTCTCTCACAAATATCTTTAGGGTGATAATCAGAGTCTTTGTAAGAATCTTTTGTGGGAATTAACTTCAACTTTAATGAAGTGCAAGAGTCACTGTGAGGTAGATGGGAAATGTCATAGGAAAATGTTTTTAAAATGTTTTGTTATATCAATAAGGGGAATAGAGTATTGTAGTATTTGATTGTGCTTAATTGTGCCTAAAATCCATGTAACCTGTGTGCCAATTCTAAAGAGACAACCTTTTACAAGAAGTGCCAACTAAAAGTCACAGATGGTGTAAGATATTACCGCCTAGGGAGGTGAGGCAAGATAAGCCTCACCTGTATGAACTTCTTCTTTTCTTCTGTGTGGTCTCTAGACATGAACTTCTCCGTTTAGTTTGTTAAAGGTAGATAAGAAGTCATCCATTGGGTTAGGCGTGGGTGGCAAGCTGTATAAGAATGACACGCTGGAAATAGCCCAGTGTTCAGAATCTGTCATGCTAATGCTCCAAACCATTGTGCACAAGTAAACCTGTCTTCTCCAACCCTTCGTGGTCTTGTCTTCTGATGTAAGTATCGTGGTTTTTTCCTCAACAACTGGAGATTTTAAAGAAGGGATTGGTCAATCATTTGTCTGAAATAGAATAGGGTTTCCTGCTTGAGCAGGGGGTTGAACTAGAAGACTTCCAAAGTCCCTTCCAACTCTATTATTCTGTATTTCCAAGCAGATTTCACAAAAGGAACATAGTCATGGTGTCAATGCTTGTGAGTAGTACAAACAAGGTGAAATGAACAGATTTCTCAACAGCATGCATGGAAAGTTTCAGCAAGAACTGATCAAGGTGATATAACATTGCTGTTCTTTTGTCAACATGTGCTTCAGGCATTTTGTCTTGGGAAAAGGTGTGGAGACTAAACTGATAGGATCCCATGATGTAGCCATCTGTAAAGCCCTCTGCCTTTTTTTTTACATGCTGTATGTCATGCATATGACACACATAAAACAAGTGGGGCTTTGATCGTGTTGTCGTGGTCATCCTCTTGACTTTTTTGATTCCACCTTGCAGACATCTCTGTGCTATCCAGATAAGAGTTTTAAAGAGACCAGTTTACTTCTATGTAGTTTTCAAAAAGAATCTGTCCCTTTAGCTGAAATACCCAATCACTTTAAAATTGGGTACTATTGTTTACATAATTATGGGGCTATCAAGGACCTGCATCTCTTTGGGCCAGGAATAACTCTGGATTATCTCAGAGCCAAAGTACTCACAACTATAGTGGGAAATTTGTAGAATGTAGAATTACAGCGTTCCGTGAAAAAAATAATAGCTTAGGAATCAAATTAAGTAAAGCAGATAAGTGGCCCAGGTCTGTGAGTGCTGGGGGGGAGATATTGACTATCCCATACACCAAGATTGTTTCCCAGTCAGATCTTGAGGCTGTATTTAATGTTGTTGGTGAGTTATAAGATCAGGAAATCAGCAGAAGTATCTTCTCAGACATAATTTGTATTTTGATTCTCAGCTTCCATTCTTTTCCTGCAAGCAGGAATGATCTTCGTGGTCTTTTCCAATCTTTCTTTCAATGAGTCTTTGATTTTAGCCAAAAGAGCAAGAAGTGATATACCAACAGCTTTCATGTTATCAAACTAATGGGTGAAAGTAACTTTAAACCAAGAATACCTGACAGGGTGCCCACGAACAAAATTTACTGCCAGACTTGCTGCCCTCTGGTTAAAAAAAAAAAGCAAAATATAGCTTATTATTTAATTACAATTAAATGAGACATCATTTAATAAGACAAATTTAGGAAAAATTGCTGGTGTCCAATAATGAATACCTCTAGGCCTCATATAACCTACTAGAGACATTCCAGGAAAATAAAAATGGATGGGTGGTAGTTGTAACCCAGAGCTTTGCTTGAAAATGTGCCCACCAATGCAGGAAAAAGTCAAAGGCTATATTCACACAAGATACTTAATCAGGCAGTTAAAGACTAGTGGCTGAATTCCTGCAACATACAAAGCTTGGTTGGCATTAACTTTTTCTCTGTGCAAGCTTAGCATGTTTTGTAAAATCAGCCCATTTGATAAGTTTAGAATTCAGTTCCTGAACCTATCCTCGTGAGTTATGCCATAACTAGGTTAAACATGTTGCAGACTGAGAATTTGCAGTCACAGTTCCTAGTGACTGTTTTCCCCTTTATGGATGTCATTCTTGTAACCAAGCAAGCCTCCCAGTCACCCTCTCAGCTTTTATAAAGCAGCGTGTAACTGCTGTCAAAATTTGAAGTGTGTCTCCCTGTTCAAGAAAACTGCCTACTCCAACTTAAAACATTCTTTCAACTTCATAGTCTGGAGTCCCAAATGAACGTGACCTTTTACAGGTAAGGATGACCAGAAGATGACTAAGGTCAAATGCATCTTGACATCATTTATATGATGAGCTTGACCATCATAGCTTCTACCAAACATCTAGGCCAGCATGTCTCAACCTCAGCAATTTAAACAGTGTGGATTTCAGCTCCCAGAATTTCCCAGCCAGTATGCTGGCTGAAGAATTCTGGCAATTGAAGTCCAAACTGCTAAAGTTGCTGAGGTTGAGAAATGCTGATCTAGATAACTAAGCATCATAATCCACAGTGAGAAGAGTTTGACTCTTGGTTTATCAATGTTCTCAGATGTAAATGATAGAGGACCACAATGGTTTGAGTCCTCTTCATTCTTCTTCGCCAAATGCAGCCATTCAGAGTAGCCCAAGAGTTGAAAGACAGCTAGGAAGAAAATTTAACTCCTTATGCATGGTATGAGATAGCAGTTAATAGCTCAGACTAAGGAGTGGAGGAGATGATAGTTTAAGTTCAGCTCATGAGTTTGCAGGGGTTCTATAACTGAATATCCTGTCTGGGGAATTCTAGAAGTCCATACTGTCATGAAAGCAGAAGAAATTCCTCCTCGGCAGCCTTGGGGGTGCTCCTTCATTGGGGAATCTCCTCGGAGCAGCCAAGTTCTCTGAGGGTCAGGATCCCTTCTTGCTGTCCCAACTTCTCAGGTGGAATGGTGAGGATTCTCAGTCAAACTCCAGCCGTAGGAGCTCAGCTCTCCGCTTGAACTGTAGCCTGTGCTCCGGCAGCCGGAGCCGTGTTGAGGCTAGTGGTCAATTCTCCCTTCTTCTCCATCTTGGCTTCTTCCCCGAGTCTTTGCTGTCCTCTCAAAAGTAATGGGTAGGCGACTGGGGCTCAGGACCCCAAGGCAAAAGACTTTATGAGATTTGGTTTAATGTCAAGGTTTCAATAGAAGAGACCAGATAAATCAGAACTCCGAGGCTAGAGGCTTCCTCAAAGAAAATGTTCATTAGCTACAAAGTATGGGCATGATCAAAAGTGAAACCAAGTCTGAAATTCCCTCCTAAGAGCTACAGTATTACGAAGTTAAACTTCCCACCCCAGTACTATGCAATCAACTATGTTTCCCAATGAAATAGTTCAGTGGGCTTTCTAACAGAATGCTCAGCCATTCTAATTGGCAGAAATGACCTTGGTTCCCATGGGACAGAAAATTGTTTAGACTAGCATAAAACCTCTGCTTTCCCCTCCCATTCAAGTGGCAACCTAGAATGAGCAAAAGATATTTTAGTCCAATTCCCCCACACAGGGCAAGAGTCCCCAGTTCATCACAGGAAAATTGGGAATCAAAGCACTATTCAACTCTAAAAAAAAATCTAATGGCAAGAACAGACAATGACCCAAAGAGCTGGTGGACATACAGGTAGTCCTTGACTTATAACCACAACCGGGACCAGAACTTCTGTTGCTAAGCAATGTGGTCATTATGTGAGTTGGACCTGATTTTATGATCTTTTTTGCCTCAGTCATTAAGTGAATCCAACTGCCCCCTGATAGACAAATCTGGCCCTAGGTTCTGCCTCAGTTTACT